AAAAAAAAAAAAAAGAAAAAGTAGAATACACGTAAGAATCATACGTGTTCATATCAGCACAGGCACCGGTTCTTTTGCTAAGACAACTCCATATACATCGACCAAACTTTTTAACTACACCAAGTAACGGTGTCAACTTTGCCTGTAAACCTAAACAACAACAAAAAACAACAATAATATATCTTTTTATTGTAAATCATTTTTTTTTCTTTTTCAGTCATGATATCGTAGTTTTTATCCAGAATACAACAGCAGAATTTATGCTCTATAATCCTGTTCTACAAAATCGTCATAAAACCCTAAAAGTTTTCAGTTGTTGATTGTTTCAACCTAGATTTTTTAATGAATCAAATAATTTTCTTCCAAGTAGAGTATCAAAAATTTAACAATCAATTATAACTGCATACCAGTTCTTTGTAAGATTCTATTTCCTTCAGCCATAAGAGCAATCTCTAGTCCACCCTTGGCTCTTTTTGGTATCATACGTGGAAGACTTTTTGCACACCTGCAGTTTGAAGAAAATTCAGACTTTTATTAAAGAAATATATCGTAGCTTAACTAACTGCTGATGCATTTATAAATAAATTAAAGTTTGAAACAAACAGTCATGTACATACATATATAAATATTTCTTGTTTTTTTTTTTTTTTTTTCGGTAAGATACTTCTTGGACTTACGCATTTGGAAGTGCTCTTTCCATGCACGAAAGTGTACCTTCAATTGCAGATGATTTTCGAGTTTCACAAGCCCGCAATTGTCTGTAGTCACCACCCAATGGAGCCAGATTTTTCTGAGAAATAATTATCCCGAGATTTTGAAAATAACTTCTGTTATCAATTCAAAAACAACTAAGCTTTTCTATAGGTAGGTAATTTTTTTTTGCAGTTACTTCTTTAACTAAGCTATAAATATCTATTTTAGCTGCACATACTTGGCATTTGTCAGCACAAGGAAATATGTTAACGAGAATTTGTTGCTTGCATTTTTGAAATTCTTGACAGGTGCATTGTCGAGTCATCTTTTGGGCTTGAGTACAAACGAAAACAAGCAGGAAAAGAACGGCCAATTTAGCCAAAGTTGCCATCCTAAAATGATAAAAGTTTTTTTTTATTTTGAAGGCTCAACTATTTTTCAGAAATTGAGCATTCGCTAAAGGTACAAACGACATTTGTTCTAACAAGTTGGAAACACTAATATTTGACAGCTAACTTTACTGTGTAAAAATTGTTTTAACTTGGTAAACTAAAAATTGATTAGAAATTTTGAGAACAACGTATTGAATTGTCGACGGTAGGAAAAAACATTTGAATATTTTGACTGCACGACATTTTTTGAAGCAAAAAATGACCGTGCAGCAAAACCGCACGAGAAAACCTAATAAAACTGTAGAAATTTTAACAATTTTTTCTAGTATCTAGTTAATACCGGCATGTATAAATTTCTAAAATTATTTTTATAAAACTGTTTTGCAGTGCGGGGTGTCAACAACAATCTCAAATTCCTGGATAATTTCAGGCGGAAACAGAAAGTGGTTTATGATTACTCATCACAAAAATTATTGCATCAAGCTGACCACAGCACAGAAAAGGTTTTTTGTAGGGTCAACAATCTTATTTCACTGAAAATTGCAGACCTGTAATTGTTCGGTAAAAAAGGAGATCAATTTTAATTTGTAGTTGAAACAGCTGATTTGTTATAATTTATGAATTATAGTAAGAAATCTATATAAAACTACAAGGCTTTTTTTTATTTTTCAATAACTCTAGACTGGCTGGTTATACAATGTTTGCAGATTCAAAGAATAAATTACCAAAAGCACACAGAAACAGACAAGCAAATCCGCTTTTATTTATAGACTCAGATTAAAAATTCGGTTCTAGTCTTTCTGTCATTGACGACAGTATCTGAATACAAAGGCATATTTATCATAGCAATAACCGAAGTCTGATTTTGAAACTTTTTTGAAAATTTTAGGACAGTTTGTCGGCGAAAAGAAGCGTCAGTAATTAGCTGATCTTCGTAGATCACCAAAATTAATCGACTAATCATTTAATCAGTTGATCAATCAGCGATTGATCTGTATAATAGAAAAAAAAAACAGGAGGTCAAGCAAAAAAAACAATTAGACATTAAAAACTGCTGATAAGGTGTGAAAAGTAGTAACACTAATTTTATGAAAACTACATAATGTGCTGCTCAGAATTATAATGTGTCACATCTGCAAAAAAAGCAAAAGGTGTCTGACTTTTTTTTTGTATCAGAATAAGCAAAACTATGACTGAATCTGCTAATGATAAATGTTAATTTGAACTTCACTAATTGTAACGATTAGTGTACTACCAGAAAAAACTAGAAAAGAGAAAATTAAAGCTCTTATCAAGAAATTGAATTTTTTGATATTTATTTGCTTTTATCAGTCATTTATAGCTTAAAATATTTAACGATCACTTCTATAGTTTTGAATTCTGCTAAATTTCTGTCATATGCCTTTAAAGTTCAGATAAAAAACTACTCTCAATTACTAATAGCTGTGATCGAATAAAGACTTTTAGTTCTGTTAAAGACAGATTTAACACAAAAATTCA